AGGAACCAAGACTCAAAAGGAGAACATCGCTAAGAGCATGAGAAGAACTGTTACGAGGAACCAAGACTCAAAAGGAGAACATCACTAAGAGCATGAGAAGAACTGTTACGAGGAACCAAGACTCAAAAGGAGAACATCACTAAGAGCATGAGAAGAACTGTTTCGAGGAACCAAGACTCAAAAGGAGAACATCACTAAGAGCATGAGAAGAACTGTTACGAGGAACCAAGACTCAGAAGGAGAACATCACTAAGAGCATGAGAAGAACTGTTACGAGGAACCAGACTCAAAAGGAGAACATCACTAAGAGCATGAGAAGAACTGTTACGAGGAACCAAGACTCAAAAGGAGAACATCACTGCATGAGTAGGAACCACTAAGAGACCATTTGAATAATCGGATAACTGCTGAAATCCGATTATGATTGGATTATTGAGTGCATGTAAACACACTCATTGTATTCATGTAATCCAACAAAGTAAATTATTCTGGTTGCAGTTTTTTACCATGTGGCAACATGACTCACCATCATAACATAGCATATAATCACAGTGCTAGTATGTTGTCTTGTCGTGAAGCTCTAGTTGACCGCAATGTCGCTACTTTGTTGTTATGGCTAGATAAACGGTCAGGATGTGTGCTCTGTACTGAGAAATGGTTTGTTTCGTGTTCTCAGGAGGAGGAGCTGCGCAAGAGTGGAGAAGCGAAATATCATCACCTCAACGAGGACCTACATGTGCTGATAGAGGTTTTTGCCCCACCTGCCGAGGCCTACGCCCGCATGGGACACGCCCTGGAAGAGATTAAGAAGTTCCTCATTCCGGTAAGTGTGTGTAAAATTAGACTTTTTTGTCTTTTTTTATGTTTATCCCCACATTGTAGTTGTTTTTTTTTGTTTTGTTTGTTTTTTTTAGCGTACAGAAATCCAAGCTGTTCTCAGTATTCTTTTTACTTAATTGGGAATTCAAGTAAGGCATGCTTTTTTCCTGAGTGTGTACCCACAATACAATATCATTTGAAGTTGGAATAAAATATACTTGGGTGGCTGTCAACATACTTTGCGCAATATAGCCTATATGTGGGAAACACCATATCAAAGAGAAACTCCACCAATTTTTCAAATTCCCTTTAATATAATACAGTGTTTGAGATGTAAACAAGGTCATTCCGAGTGATTTGGTGTGAAATGGTTCACTGTAGAGAAACTTACAGATCAGATTCCTTTACAGTGGTGGTGTCACAGGCCTGGGTTTGGTTCCCTGTCCAGGTGACCAGAGTCCTTTCTGTGTGGAGTTGTGTGTATGGGTTTCCTCCCACAGTCCAAAGACTTGCAGTCAGGCCAGTTGGAGATGCTAAATTGCCCCTTACTGTGAGTGTGTGTGTGAGTGTGTATGTCTGCATGTCTGTGTATGTCCATGATGGTCTGGTGACCTGTCCAGGGTGTTCCCTGCCTTTTGCCCAGTGACTGCTGGGATAGGCTCCAGCACCTCCTGCGACCCAGAGGATAAACAGCTTAGATGATGAATGAATGAACAAATATGAATATTTTAGACCAAAACCTTTTAAAACTATGGAAAAAAACCTCTCGGACATCAGGCAGCATCCTAGTCCTGCTGGTTATTATACATAAACTATTGTTTATAGTCCTGTTTTGTCTGTGGTTTCAGTGCTCTCTATGTGCCTTTCTCGCTGTGTGTTCAATAGAGAGCAGAGCATGGCCACTTCGATGTTTCTTCTTCTGTAGGTGCTACAGTATTCATAACTTTCTGTGAGGGAGCTTTTAGAGGTGGACGTCTGGTTCCTATCACCACCACTGTGAACAATTCTGGCTCTGTAAGTTTCTCTATAACAGAGCATTTCACACCAAACCACTCTGACTGACTCTGCATCTTAACCATTTAATAATGCAGAAATTCCTCTTTAACATCACTTTCAAAATCACCACAAAATATTGATTAAAGGCAGTAGAAATGGAAAATAAATTGTCTTATGAGTGTGTATTGATGCTGGAATGGCTGGACAGGCAGGTACAGTAGACTAGAAAGTATATTAAATGCAATTTACAGCAGCCTGTTTCTTTTGCAACTGGCTACTTTATATTTTGGGCCTGTTTCAGTGTCTGCTAGGTGGGTTTTGAGCGCGATTTGTACTGGAGACTTTTTCTGGACATGGCAACCCTGCACTCGGGTAGCTTCTGATGCTTCTTAAGACTGGTACTTCGCATCAGTGACACTTGATATCCTTGTTTCCCCAAATTTGCAGCTTTTTCTAGAAAAAGAAAAAGTGTTCAAAGTTGATGTCTAGGTTGTTGAGGGTTAGGTTAAGCCAGAGTTCTCTCCACCACTGTTACCCTGATTTTAGTCTTGATTCTCAGTCTGGCTGAATCTGTGCTAGTTGGCTCTAGTCTGCAGATTTTTGTGTCAGTCGTATTCGACAGTTGGAGAGAGAATCGAGTCGTGTGTGAGGGACACAGACTCCTCCAACAGCCAATGAAAACTGAGTGTGCCAAAGAAGAAAATACAGCAAGTAAACAAAGAAAAATGACGAGAAGTCTCACGTGTGGAGCGAAGCTTTTTAATGAGCTGGGTTTAAGGCATGAGCACAATTGAGTTTATGTACATATAAACCTGTAAAAATACCAAACTAATGACATTTTTAAATCTATGACTCTCACTTAAACATGTTTACCTGCTGCTTCTTTACTGCGTCAGCACAAACGGCAGAGTAAACAGCAGCGAGCCGCTACATCTTTGTTTATTTGCGTCTCCTAGTAATGGGAGAACGCGAGAGTTCGCTTGAGTTCGCACGAGATCAGTGAGTTCCATTCAGTTCAGCAACAGCTTTAAAGTCGAGTAGTGTGAGATCCCTAATTGTTTAGTGTGTGATCCCCAATATTTCAGTCGCCCAAAAACCAGTTGCACAGTCTTTTATAATCTGTTCAGACTTTAAAAGTTGTGTAGTGAACCCAAGGCTTTAGTTTTGGGTTAGGTGGAGCCCAACACCATTCACACCACACACTCTTACAGAAACACCACATACACACACACACAAACACAGCAGGACACTCTGGTGTGTGTCTTACTCGTGCGTGACAAATCCTCAGTCGTTCAGCTATAAAGTCATGCTCACTATTTAGCTTTCTATCTGATTAAGCCGGTTTGGTGTAATTAAGATTTTCCCTCCACCCTTCTGCTTGCAATTACATGTGTTTAGCGCTTTCTTCTGTTTAATGAGAAAAACATTTAAGCTTTCCTGAGAGCCGTACACTTCTTGATTGAAGTGATAATTTCCAGACTTTTAGTTTTCTCCACACTGTTTTTTTTTTAGTATAGACCAAAATGAAATAAGACAGACATGCAAATGAAGAATCGTCACAGATGTTTGGTATTTCATGGCTTTGTTTTGAAAAGGGAGGTTACTGTTGGGTAATAAACAGTATATGGATGGAAAGATAAGTAAACAAGTAAATGCATTATTCATGTGCTGTGCATCATATCTTATTTACAAGGTATAATTTTGGAGGCAAGTTATGTAGCATAATAAGCTCCTTTCATCTGACTTCACCACTGAGGATCGCGAAGTAGCCTCAGTGCTGTATTTCGTATCAGTTCAGTGGGGGTCAGATTTATTGTAATTATACTTTTAAACACAAAAGCTTTTCATGATACTCTTGTGTCAAAAAGTCTGAAAGTAGTACATCTACTTGAGATTTAAGTTTATTGCAAATAAGAAAACAATAACACTACAGGCCAAAAGCTTGGGCTTATATTTAAGAACATTTGCCAGCAAACAACTTAACAAAACCTCTTTACTGACATCTAGATTAACTAAAGAAGTTTGTTTAGGGTACTGCATTGATTTGCATACTGCACCCTCAAGGCCTTTACACACCAAGCATAATTTATTTGGGACATATTTGTCAAAATATTTATCAGAACATGTATATAACTGATGATGTGTTGCACACTAAACATTTGCAAAAAACATGAACTAACTTGACCAATCACTGTGGTCTCTTGCATTGCCATGCTGGCAACTAACATGACCAAAGAGCTTTTTCCAGCAACTAGAATTTTTTGACAAAAGTTGGCTCCCGAGAGGCGCAGCCGTCCAAGAGTTGGCCCTACTGTTCGCGAGTTCAGTCTCTGGTGATGCCACAGCCATCTGTATCCAGGAGTACATGAGATTATAATTAGGGCTACAGCAAACAACTGTTTTCATAATCGATTGGTGGTTCCATCATGACTTTGATGAATCGATTATTTGCCAAATGAAAACCCACGGATATTAGACTGGCAATAATGTTTCATTCAACAAATTATTTGTCTTTTATAAAAAAAAAGTACAAACTTATTCCAAAAAAGTTAGAACCTAAATACAAATAAAAAGAGAAAGTAATTCTGTTTGACCTGTTTGAAATAGAAAACAGTACAAAAACATGGTATTTGACGTTTTGTCTTATGAACTTTTCATTCTTTTGTTGTAAATATCTATATATTTACAACTAATTCCAACACATTCCATAAAGTTGGGACAGAAGCACCTCTAAAAGGCAGCATATGTTGCTCCAAAATGTGTGCCTATCTTTCAGCATTAATGGTGGTGCCTTCACATGTTTCCCCCCTTATTATGACAGATGCTGACTTTTGAACTTTACGCTGGTAACAGTCTGGATGGTCCTTTTCTTTTTTGGCCCAGAGAACACAATGTCCATTATTTCCATAAACAATCTGAAAGGTTGACTCATCAGATCACAGCACACATTTCCACTGGGCTTCAATACATTTCAGATGTACTCCAGCCCAGAGAAATCGGCGGTGTTTCTGGATGTTGTTTATGTGTTGCTTCTGCTTTGGAGAGTACAGTCTTAACTTGAATTTGTGGATACAGCAATGAACAGTGTCTACTGATAAGATTTTGTTAAAGTATTCTTAATATTGATATTCATGAAGCATGTCAAGTTTTTAATGTAGTGCTGTCTAAAGGATGAAAGGTCACCGGCATTCAGTTGTGGCTTTTGGCGTCCTGGATTCTCTGAATCTTTTGATGGTATTGTGCACCATAGAAGGTGTAATATCCAAAATCCTTGCAAACGCTCATTGAGGAGCATCGTTCTTAAACTGTTTTGCTGGTGCATTTTTGGTAAGTGGTGAGCGTCAACTCATCCGCGCTCATATGGGATGAGGCCTTTCCTGGATGTTCCTTTTATACTCAAGCACGACTGCATCACTTTTTTGGAACATTTTGCAGGCATTATTTTTTTTAGAATGAGCATATGTTTACAAAAAACCACTCAAGTTGATATTACATCTTGTCTTCGCAGCACTTTCTTTGAATGTGGATTAACATATTACTGCTTTCAGTGCATGTTGGTAAGAGTGAAACTTATCAGCACCTAGAAACAACACTTTCTGTGTGCTACTGCGTTTTCTATCACTGTATAAAAGATGCCTGAGGCTTCCTTTACTGTTGTGTGCACTGATTTCAGAGCATTTTGGGATCAGTAAGAGCATATTAGTCTTTTGTTTAATCAGAGTAATGATAACGTGTGACCAATGTGTGACTTATATTCCTATATTTATGTGTTTTCTTATTTAAAAGGTTAGTTTGTGACCCAAACTGAACAAAAATTTAGTAGATCATATTATGTACATATCAGACAAATGCGTCAATCTTGAAAAGTGGAACTTACAGATCTGAGCAGCTCCTTGCAGTACTTTGGTTCTTTTTATTTTGCCTTTTTGATTTGTTTACAAAACTCTGGTGTAAACATGCATTAGTGTGTTCTTTAGAGATGAAAAAGGCTCAGTTACTGATAAAGGAAGATGAGCGAGAGAGAGAGAGAGAGGGAGAGAGAGAGAGAGAAAGAGAGAGAGGGAGTAAGAGAGAGAGAGAGAGAGAGATGAAATGGAATGAAATGGGAGGGGTAACCATAGGGACCAAGAATTTATTTGCTTTGCCCCATTTATTATTTATAATGTGTCTCAATTGCTTTGAGGTCCTTCTCATTGGTGGATTGTTATTAATCAAGCCTCTAATTCCCTTTAACAACCATTGTGTGTGTCTGGGTATGTGTGTGTGTGTGTGTGTGTCTGGGTGTGTGTGTGTGTGTGTGTGTGTGTGTGTCTGGGTGTGTGTGTGTGTGTGTGTGTCTGGGTGTGTGTGTGTCTGGGTGTGTGTGTGTGTGTGTGTGTGTGCAGGATTATAATGATGAGATCAGACAAGCTCAGCTGCAGGAGCTGACGTTTCTGAATGGAGGATCGGAGGATGCTAAGGTTCCAGCAGTGAGAGGGAAACCCAACTCCAGGGCTAGAGGCACACCTGCACCCGGCTCACACAGGTAAAGCACACCTGCACACCTGCACCCGGCTCACACAAGTGCGCCCATCTCACATAGATACGCACCCAGGCATAGCACAGCTTAAACTGGATCACACAGGTACAATACAGCTGCACACTTACACCTTATTCACACAGGTACAGCACACTTGCACCCAGCTCACATAGGTACAACACACCTGTACCTGGCTATCGCATGTACAACACGCCTGTACCTGGTTAACGCAGGTACAACACACCTGTACCTGGTTAATGCAGGTACAACACACCTGTACCTGGTTAATGCAGGTACAACACACCTGCATCCAGCTCACATAGGTACAACACACCTGTACCTGGCTATCGCATGTACAACACACCTGTACCTGGCTAACACAGGTACAACACACCTGTACCTGGTTAATGCAGGTACAACACACCTGTACCTGACTCACACAGGAGCAACACCCCTGCATCCAGCTCACACAGGTACAATACACCTGCATCTAGCTCACACAGGTATAATACACCTGTACCTAGATCGCACAGGTACAACACATCTGCATTCAGCTCACAAAAAACAATTTCACACAACTCACACTTACAACACAACTGTGCCAAGTTTGTGTATGTACAACACTCTTGCACCAGCCTCACACACGTACAACACACCTGCAGTTAGCTCACACAGGTACAACACACCTGCACTCAGCTCACGCAAGTACTACACACCTGCACTCTGCTCACACAGGTTTAACACACCTGCACTTATCTCACACAGGTACAGCACACCTGTATCCAGCTTACACAGGTACAACACACCTGCACCTGTATCTCACATGTACAAGACATTTTATGGCTGCTGTGCGATTATATGGGTGTTCATGTATTGATGACAACACAAACTTAGAAATAGAAACAGAAAGAAATGTAAAAAAAAAAGAGGAATTGACAATTTCTCTTCACCTTCTGTTGCCAATTATGAGCGTTTAGTACCTTTTTTATTCAGAATAATTAGAGAAATGTTTAATATTCACTCTCTGCTCTCTACTGATGTGATGCACTTTTTATTAGGTTTCTCATTATTTTATTCTCTGTGGCTTGTGATAAGAAGAATGACTATAGACTAGAATTACATCAGTAAATGCAGAACATTCCAAACTCCATGCTTTATTGCAGATCATGGCTTTTTATGATAATATTTATTCATCGAGGATAGATTTTAATACTGCAGATGTTTACTGTTTGTGAGCAAACTGTAAATTGCTGATAAGCAGATAAGGATAAAGAGATGCTCTCACCGAGTGAAGATTATAATTAGATCAGTTTGAGATCAGTCGAGTAATTAGCATTCGGCGCATCTAATTTTAGACGGTGGTAAGAAAGCCGGTCCCAGGGGAGTCCAGAAACCATCTGTATATATTTGCACAAATAATTACATGAGCTTATTATTAAATACCCATGTGAGCGTAGTGTGAAATTGCAGCTCCGGCGAAGGTGAGCAGGCGCGGATCAATGCGGCCAGTTCATTAAAGGGAAGAGCTGTGACAGCAGCGGTGGCCATGTTTGGGTTTTCGGTCAGCTAGTGGTCAGAAACTCGACCTGGTCGTTTGATTGATTATAATAAGCGATTGCGTCTGGTGTAATTGCTTTAATATCGCTTTCGAAATGGAGATGAATCTCACATCCCACACTTGGGCATAATAACTAATCGATACAGCGGGGAAGGCACCGCATGGGAGCCAGGCTGAGGACGTTAGATTACTTTTTCCTTGGCCGTGTTTTGATGTCTGATGGTGCTGGTAGTCATCCCTGCCTCCCACTCACCTCCCACAAAAGAAAACAGGAAAATCAGCTTCGCTTCTTGCAAATGAAGCACTGTTTATTCATGAAGAACCTAACAGTTTGCATATCACCACATACAACACTGACTTTGATTTCGTTCCTGTGGGAACGTTATGTAACACTTCGTTTGGATGGTCCACTGTAGATGTTTTGATGCTTTTCTTGTCTTTAACTTGCATTCTACTAAACTCAACTTCTCTCTAACCCTAAACCCGACACCCTCTCTAACCCTAACCTCAAACTTGATATGGTTCTTGCATATAAAACACTGATACTTCATGGTGATGACAGTTTGCACATACAAAACTGACTTTGATTTATTTATTTTTTTCTGTGGGAAAGTTATGTACAATGGTGGAAACTTTATGTGGATGCTCCACTGTACACTCTTAGAAATAAAGGTACTAAACTGTCACTGGGGCAGTGCCCCTCTTGTCACTTGGTGGTACCATCAAGGGTCCATCTCAGTACCTTTAGTCAGGGAACATAACTGAACCATAATCCACTGTACTGACTCCACACACCCCGTCTCGCCTCCAGGCTTTTATTTTACTGTTCTGTTTTAAATCATTCGGTTATGAAAAGATACAAATACAAACTTTTCACCTGGAAAAACTTATTTAAGGTTCACAGTCAGACCTTAAAACCACTGCTGTACCTTTGAGGAACATTTACATTGTTTGCACCTTATAGATTATATGCTTCGTAGATGCTCACCTTCTATATTTCCTTGATGGTTCTTGCACTGTAAATGCATGAAGAGTCAGCTCAGCTGATCATATAACTACAGTAGGCAGAAAAAAATATTCATACACTTGTTTTTGTTATGTACTGTATACTATATGTGTATAAAATATAAATATAATTTAAAGGTTAAGAAGAAAAATCAACCACGTTCTACATATTAATGCTGCAAAAACAGTTCTCATGCAAATGAAACCTGCTGTCATTCTAAAAGATGTTGCCATTGGTTGGGAAGATCTCATGCAACAGGCAGCAATCATGACGAAGGTGAAGGAGCTTCCTGAAGTTCTCAGAGACGAGATTACTGAACAACACTCGAATGGGAAGAAGCTACAGAGCCCTGGCAAAGACCATAAACATGCCTGTCAGTGCAGTTGATTTGAGAATATGCAACTGGGAGGTTCATAACTAACTGGCCCCAGACAAATGTGTTCAATCACAATGTGCTCTCAAACTAATGATAGGGAAGGTAAGAGCAAAGCCAGCAGTCACTCGAAAAGAGTTCAGAATGACCTGAAAGCAGCAGGAACAACAGTTACAGAGAGAACAATAAGCAATGAACTGCACCACAGTCAGCTCCACACCCTATACAGAACTCCTCTACTGAAAAAGAAGCTCAGCGATGTGCATCTAAAATCTGTACATGAGCATTTTGATGAATCAGAACGGTTTTGGAACAATGTACCGTGTACAATGTCCAAACGTATTTCAGCTCGTCAGGTTTGGAGAACGAGGGTTTGCCTGTATGATCCCAAGAACAGCCACAGTGAAGTATGAAGGTGGGAGCATCATGATACAGAGCTGCTTCTCTGTAAACATTACTGGGGCCGTACAGGTCATTGAACGAGAATGAATGGAGCGAGGCATCAGGACATATTAGAGGGGAATTTAATCTCAACGGCCAAGAAAGAGTAGAAGACAAAACAACGACCCCAAACATACAGTCAAAATAACTAAGACAGGTTTCTAAAGAAGGTGACGGTGATTGCGTGGTCCAGCCAATATCCTGACTAGAATCCCGCTGAAAATATTAGGAGGATTTTGAAATTGTGAGTCCATCAGAGGGACCCTCATAACCGTGGGGATTGAAGGTGGTTCTTACTTTATTAATAATTACTTCTTACTTTATTATTCCAGTATTCAAGTATTAATGTTATCCATTTGTTGTGTCTGAATACTTTTCTCTTGATTAGTATAATTGTTTTAAAATATACACTTCATTAATACATATTTTTATTCATATTTATAAGTGCAAAATCAAAAGACATTATATCTGTAAATTTGAGGTAAATATATAGACTGGAAATATAAAGTATATATGTAGTCAAGTGAACTAAGGAAGGTTTTCCTATTAATCCTATTGATATAATATATATTTGCATTTTTTTTAAGGGTCTGACGGTGGTCAGCAAGCATGCTAGCGCTCCGTTTCCCTCTGTATTGCCTTTCCATGTTGGAAATATCTTGGTGAAATTGCTAACTGTACTTGTCAAAGACCACATTCAGATCCTATAACTCCAGATGAGGGTCCAGGAAATGTATTTTATACGTCACAGCTCTGCACAATTTTCTCAAAAAAGCTCTCAGCATTATTCTTGAGCAATAGCCATGCCGCTTGTTCCACTCACCTCAGACTACAGATCTCATATTACTTCTCTAATTTGAGAAGCTAAAAAGGTCCGTTCTTTGATCTTGGCATCACTTGTCCTGATTTTTCTTTCTTCAGATGTATAAATCCAGCTCCATTTCAGTCCATCATCTCACAAAATAAATGCGCCAGACCAAAGGCATATATGGATGGTGTGACATTTGTGGATCATAGATCAAAATGGATCGAATTCAACCAACAAAATTATGCATAAAATACCAATTAGTGTTCATATGACAACAGTGTGTTTACCAGTGGAATATAAGGATCTCAAGATCATCTGTAGGAAACTTTATCCAAATGAAGTGGGTTTTAATTATAGGCCATATTTTTTGGCTTTGCAGGACCAGAGGAGGTGTTCCTCCCCCCCAGGCAGCAGTTCCCAGAGGAGTGGCACCTAGAGGAGCCCCGCCCAGCCGAGTCCCATCCAGCAGAGGGAGGGGCGTTCCTGCACAGAGAGCACGTGGAGCTCCGCCCCCAGGGGGGTACAGACCGCCTCCGCCTGTAGTGCAGGACTCATATGGAGAATACGTGAGTATCTCCACCCTCCCAAACAGTACACACACTATATGTACACTTGATTAGGTACACCCTTTATCCGTTTTATCAGCTCCACTGACCATATAGGAGCACTTTATAGTTCTACAGTTACAGACTGTAGTCCATCTGTTTCTCTGTTAGCCCCCTTTTATGCTGTTCTTCAGTGGTCAGGACCCCCACAGGACCACCACAGAGCTATTTGGGTGGTGGATCATTCTCAGCACTGCAGTAACACTGATGTGGTGGTGGTGTGTTATTGTGTGTTGCGCTGGTACGAGTGGATCAGAGTGTCCACTCACTGTCCACTCTATTAGACACCCCTACCTTGTTGGTCTACCTGTTGCAACAGATGTAACTTCTCATCTATGATGTGCTCTAACAAGGTAGGTGTTGGTTTCCCGAACATGGAATAAACTCGTCTTGGACTAATTAGACTTGGACCTTTTCAGGGTCAGTGGTGAATCACCACTGCCAATTCTTTTTGTCTAGGCTTAGACTGAATCTGAGTCTGGAAAACCAGCCCTAAGTCTACACAGTGTCTATAAAGTCCAGCAGCACTGCTGTGTCTGATCCACTTGTACCAGCACAACACATACAATGAGCCACCACCCAAATAATGCCAGCTCTGTTGGGGTCTTGACCATTGATGAACGAGGTAAAGGGAGCAAATATTCGGAAATGATGCAGAGAAACAGATGGACCTACAATCTGTAGTTATAGAACTATAAAATGCACCTTCAGCACTGCGGAGACCACCCGTTCTTTTATTTCATTTTACATCAAAACACCCATTAATGAAAGTGTTTTTCAGGGTCAGGATGAAAGGAGAAAATATATTTTACAAAAAAATACACGGAAGCCTCAACAACTAAAGATTAGATCACATTTTCAGTGTTTATTGTGTCACTCTTTACCTTTAGTACAGCCTCCTTTCTTCTCAGGAGACTCACATTCAGTTTCTGAAAGAAATCTGCTGGGATATTTTTCCACAATGGGAGTCACATTTTTTCTGTAGCTTTTAATCATGTTTGGAGCTCCAGTTTTGTCCTGTTTTGTCACAAATTATCTTTTAATTTTCTCATTTCTTATGCAATTTGGATTATTTTATATCTACTATCCTCAGAAATATCCCCTTGAAAGTGAATAACTTCTACTTAATGGCTGTTTTGAATGGGAATTAAGACAAGATAAGATAAGATGATCCTAATTAGTCCCACAACGAGGAAATTCTCAATTCTCAATTAATGGTGAATTGAAATAAATAAATAAATAAAGGGTGGTCTGACTTTTGCACAGCACTGTACATGGTGGGCGAGATACGAGGCAGATTGTTCACTGTGCCTAATGAAGTCATGCTGCACTGATGTGCTGTTGCCGGGGATCATTTTGTTATGCAGGCTTTGTTAGTCCAGATTACGGCCTGCTCACACCTTGACATATTCATCCAGCCAAACGCATTTCACCATGTCCTTTAGCTCTGCTGGACCCCTGCCAGGAAACCCCTCAGCGCGGCTCCCGTGGGGCTGCTGGTTTGAGTGTTCAGTGCTCTAACAGACGGCCAGGGGTGGAGGGGGGTGAAGAGGGTGGGCGCAGTGCCCAGTGGTGCCCGTATCTAACCATATCCGACAGGTTTATTCAGGGGGTCGCCATGCAAACGCGCTGAGGTCGCAGGAAACGAAGCCGTCGCCAGCTGCTCTCTGGGAGCACGACTGCTGTAAACTCCCTGTCACACACACACACACACACAAATACACAGTTATCCAGAATGCACACAAGCACATTCCGAAACATCTGGTCGATGATAAATGCAGAGGACTCCGTGCGAATTAGGGCTCAACTCCGCAGAAGAGCATCTAAACATCAGAGGGGACCCACAGGACCCTCCGGTCCTTCAGAGAAGGCCTAATCTGAAATTTCTGTAAATTAAAAAACAAATTCTGTAAAATATGAAAAAAAACATATGTCTGTTAATTTTAGCCCATTTGGATGTAATATAATCAACATGTTGTAGTAAAACTGCTCGTATTGTAGTAATACTCTTATTTTATTTGTTGGAAACAAAAAGGATAAAACCTTGAAACGCCCAATGCAAAATTATCCAATCAAGATTTTTTTTCTTCATGGTATCTGGGCAGATGCAGCCAAATGAGCTCTCTCATTTATAAGGACTTCAGGAGCTGAACTAAAGTCCTAATGGGTCAATTTAACCACTAACGTATATAAGAACTAATGCTGCATTCGGTTTGGCTTGAAAGTGGGAAGTCAAAGTTCAGAATTCTGTTACAAGTTTCAAATAAAACATATAGAATGTCTTTGACAAGCTTTAAATGCTCGTGTTAAATAAATGCATGGATTTAAAGCTGTGGCAGGGGTGGCCAGTGCCCTCCCTGAAATCTGACTGACCACCCCAGATGCCACCCCAAAATTTCTGGCATGTCATTGGCTTCTACCTCGCAAGTTGTTTTGCTATCGGCAAACGGTGGAGCAACTGTCCAAACTTTCTCCACTTCCACACCAATCCCACTTCCAACCCCCCACCCCCCGCCCACATTCACATGGTCACCCCAGAAAAATGTTCTGCCTCAATATGTTCATGTGTATCACTGTAAGTTCATGTATTTTTCTTATGAAGCGGATCGTTCTGGAGAACGCTCAGTGCTGTTCATGGTTTTTTCCTATGAAGCGGGTCGTTCTGGAGAACGCTCAGTGCTGTTCATGGTTTTTTCCTATGAAGCGGATCGTTCCGGAGAACGCTCAGTGCTGTTCATGGTTTTTTCCTATGAAGCGGATCGTTCCGGAGAACGCTCAGTGCTGTTCATGGTTTTTTCCTATGAAGCGGGTCGTTCTGGAGAACGCTCAGTGCTGTTCATGGTTTTTTCCTATGAAGCGGATCGTTCTGGAGAACGCTCTGTGCTGTTCATGGTTTTTTCCTATGAAGCGGATCGTTCCGGAGAACGCTCAGTGCTGTTCATGGTTTTTTCCTATGAAGCGGATCGTTCCGGAGAACGCTCTGTGCTGTTCATGGTTTTTTCCTATGAAGCGGATCGTTCCGGAGAACGCTCAGTGCTGTTCATGGTTTTTTCCTATGAAGCGGATCGTTCCGGAGAACGCTCAGTGCTGTTCATGGTTTTTTCCTATGAAGCGGATCGTTCTGGAGAACGCTCTGTGCTGTTTTTTCTTGGTTGTGTACACAGATCAGTCATTCTCCTCTATCAGCCCGTTTGGCTCTTTACATGGTTTTAATGCGAACGCAGGGCGAGGATTCTTTTAATAAAATCACTGATGAGTTTTGACAGCAGAGTCAGGGGGCAGCGGACATTACTAGACACAGGATGAAGCCGATATGATGCAGCGATGAATGAATCATTTAAAACTTGCCCTTTAGTTATGACTAGACCTCAACATCACTGAATGGGTTTGATTACTTGAATGGTGCGAAGCAGAAAATGATCAACCAACTTCTAAGACTGAACTTTGGAGGTGTTAAAAATATCCCTACAGATTTCTTTGAGAAACTGAAAGTGAGTCTCCTGAAATGAATGGAAGCTGTAATGAAGGTAAAGAGTGACTCACTAAATAGTAAAATATATATATAAATAATATATTTAGATGTTCTGTGTAAGTTTTGGCTAAATAAATGTTTTCTGCTATTACTTCCTCCTGAAGAACGAAGCCACTTTGACTGGAAATTAAATAAATAAAGAGTGGTCTCTGACTTTTACAGAGTATTATAATTAATTAGTTACATAATAAATTATTCACATTTAATATATAAAAACCAGAAAAATGACAAAATCTGTAAAACCTTTTCTTCAACAACAACTTTTCTCTATAGCATCTTCCATTCCAAATTATAATAAAATATATTCTCTGCTTACAAACACAAACGTGGCATAGATTGAATGTTCAGATTTCTCACTTTCAACACTTCTCCACTTGTTTCAATGAGCTACAAGTGAGAGAAAATATTCATATAAAATGTAAGAAGAGGTTTTTAAGGCACTTTAAAGGCAGGGGGGACCTTATAAAGGTTCATTTCAAAATATTGTATTTATCACAATGTACATAATACTCACAATTGTGACACTTATATAAGCACAATATCTAAGCACCTTTTCACCATCTATTCTATATTTTATAATACGTTTATTCCTCTTACGTTCATTCCTTTTTCAGTTGGCTCCTTGTATAAATGACTTCATCCACATGATTTCCACAACGGTGAATTCTCATTTTCAGTGCTGGGTCTCCTCCGCCTCCAGCCGTGGTCTTTAATTAGCCCGTTTCTTGCCCCTGGTGTCTGCGTGTTGACAGCAGGAGCAATAAACCCGAGCTTTCCACCCCATCCCCTTCTTATTCACCTCTCCTCTGCTCCTCCTCCTCCTCCTGGACTCCTATTACTGATTCATTAAAGCTCAGGAACCGGAGCTGTGCGCCCTTCATAATCTCTTATTCATTATATTACGGTGGGCCAACGGGCCAAAATAAATTCCCAGGAATGTGATTAGAGGGCGGATGTGATGGCCCTCCTGCTAGGCCGAGCAGAGAATGAGGGCTTGTCATAAAGAAGCATACATTTAGGCTTTTTTTCCGTTTGTGGGGGTCTTTGAAGGGGTTCAGCTGGATACCTAAGGCTCTTCTGAGCTGAAGTAGCAGTGTCATCTCCATTATTGCCTCCACCAGCTTAGGCCCTGATTGGACCTGGTATCAACATCCATCTTAAGTGAAGGCTTTTTTGTAGTGTGCCTGTGGGAATTCGTGCCCATTCAGTCAAAAGAGCATTTGTGAGGTCAGGCACTGATGTTGGACGAGAAGGCCTGGGACGTTCCAGTTCGTCCCAAAGGTGTTCAATGGGGTTGAGGTCAGGGCTCTGTGCAGACCACTGGAGTTCCTCCACACCAAACTTGTGAAACCATGTCTTTATGGACCTTGCTTTGTGCACAGGTAAAGGGTCTTCACCAAACTGCTGCCACAAAGTTGGAAGCATATAA